GGGTAGGGTAGTGTAGTGTAGTGTAGTGTAGTGTAGGAGTAGGGTAGTGTAGGAGAAGGGGTAGTGTAGGAGTAGGAGTAGTGTAGGAGTAGGGGTAGTGTAGGAGTAGGGGTAGTGTAGGAGTAGGGGTAGTGTAGGAGTAGGGTAGAGTAGGAGTAGGGTAGAGTAGGGGTAGGGTAGAGTAGGAGTAGGGTAGAGTAGGGTAGGGCGTGCGGTGGCGGGTGGGCGTGCGTTGCGGGCGTTTTTGCGGCGGTATTTGCGGTTTTTTTGCGGTGTTTGTGTTTGGCGGCGGGCGGGCGGGCGTTGCGGGTGTTTTTGCGGTGTCTGCGTTTGGCGGCGGACGGCCGTTTTTTTGCGGCGGTTTGCGGCGGGCGGCCGTTTTTTTGCGGTTTGCGGCGGGCGGCCGTTTTTTGCGGCGTTTCGCGGGTGGCGGCGGGCGATGCGGGCTTTTTTTTGCGGCGGCGGTGTTTGCGTTTTTTGCGGTGTTTGCGTTTTGCGGCGGACGGGCGTTTTTTTTTGCGTTTTTTTTTTGCGTTTTTCTGCGGTTTTCGACGGGCGGGCGATTGTTTCTTTTTTGCGAAGTTTGCGTTGGCGTTTTGCGCGTTTTGCGGTGTTTGCGTTTTGCGGCGGGCGGGCGGTTTTTCACAATTCAAGTCCCAACCTTCGGATTCGCAGTGCTGTTCGACAAGCGCTGCCCGGGCCCGCCTTACAGTTTAATTAAAAACAGCTACCCAAATCTACCCAAATAATACAGATAAAAATACAAGTCAATCACCCAAAGTAATGCACCCGTAACATAACATAAATCAAAACATACAGTAATCGCGTAAACCTGTACCTCTAGTCTCCCTTTAAAAAATGTCCAACTTTACCACGCACCACGTGCGGTGGTTGGCAAGAACGCATGGTGGCCATCACACCACAGAACTTTTACGTCCAAGTGACATTCAGACTTCAGTAAAGAAGACCGCTTGTCAATCGGATGTCCCGCTCCTAAGATATTAGCTTTGGAAGAGCGTCCCCACGGCCGGCCGGCCGCTCATACTCAGGATTTTCCCTTAAAGGTAGTGTGCCAGCTTTCCTGGACCGTATGGAGTTAATGGCCCAGCTAAGTAGAACCGGATTTTTAGAACTTATCCATGCCTTCAAAACTCATGGAAACGTCTTAAATTCTTCAAATTTTGAGTACCCCAGTGCGAAATTCGCCCCGACGGGTTGTCGGTCGTACCCCAACCACATTTCACACCACTATGAACAATAAAGCACACACTGAAATCGCTATTACCGATATGCTTATCCAATCAAGTTTCGATAAACCCGTTCATCATCATCTCCTGCGGTTTCGAACACGCCTGTTAGGTGGTGCGATAGACCGCGCCCAAAGCCAGGGCCCCGGTAACATGAGGTAGCCGAGTCGGGGCAGCGTGCGCTGACCCAAGCCGGGGCCGCGCGTCCTCCCGGTGTCATGTGATAGCCCGGGGCTGCCCGCGGGGATGCGGTAGACCGCGCCCAAAGCTGCGGCCCCGGCTTGGGTCAGCGCACGCTGCCCCGACTCGGCTACCTCACGTTACCGGGGCCCTGGCTTTGGGCGCGGCTTCTGCTCATACTTTGTGGTGCGGTGGTGGTGCGTCGGGCCGCGCGCTCTGACTTCGGCCAAGAAAAATGCGTCAGCTGATCATTGTCATTTCTGCCACTTGTGTGTGGTGAAATGGGGTCATAACTTAAGAGACGGCTTTTTCATATCAATTATTTTACATAAAATCATATTTCAAACCATAAATAATGTTCGACAGCCAAATAAAAGAAACAATACCAATACAGGCTTACAGTTTAAGGCTCGACATTGTGTTGTCTACGATTAGACAGCTGATAACTCATTCCCGTACGTCGTAACTCTATAATGACCTTTGCTTATTGTCACATGTGCGCCGCATTCGCGATTGTTGCCGACGCCTGTTTGCAGGCCAGCCCACTACAGCTGTTATACATATCGAAAAACCGATAAACTTTTAGGCGAAAAAGGCACTATTCCAGGCCCATTTTTGATTTTTTGCGATATTAGTTAAAAACAGAAGCTTCTTATCCTAGGAAAAATAAAATGGGAAATCTTTCAAAGGTGGCACACTACCTTTAATTCAGTATGAACTCGCTCGCTCGCTGCGCTCGCTCGCTCGTAACAAAACTAACATACCACCCTCCCCTCCCTGCCCCTCCCCGCTTCCTCGGTAACGGCTGGGGCCTTCCCACCAATCAGCACGCAGACACGAGATGCGTACTATTGCGTAGCCGGCGCGGGCAGATGGCAAGGCAACGTCCGGGGTTCGAAAAGTCATGAGCATAGGTCATGAGCTTCTCACGTTTGGACTGAAGCTGGCAAAATTGGGGTGTTGTTATTGGTGTGTTTTGTTTTACATACAGAAAGGTCAGCACCATCGCTACAGTCGCATCGCACCATCGCATACAGGTAAGCCGATAAAGGTTGGGCTCCCTCGTTAGTTGAAATTAGATCTCGCGCTCCGCTATGATGCCTGCTTTCCTGGATAGAACCTGCGTGAACGTTGTGGGGGCAGCTCCCCATGACCCTGAAGAGTGTGACGGCAAGCCTACTGCTTTCCACGGTTCCCGCGCTTCTGCTCCCTAAATCCAATTTAATCGGCGCCCCGCTGGGGGGGGGGAGAATCTGTCCCCTCCCGTTTTTCGCCAATAACTTCTAAACACGTTAAGCCAGCGACGTCAAACTTTCAGTACCTTATCATACATCAATTTGACACGTTCCCTAAAAATTGGAGCGAAATCCGTCAGAAATTTTTGGAGAAGTGTGACGTTTTAGTGACGTGATGTTCGCCATTTTCGCCTCAAAGACGGCAAAATTTCAAACGCCGCTAACATCTTTATTATTAAAGGAATCAAGACGTAACAAAAAGTTTAAACGTGATTTAACTTTGTCTATCAAATGGCTATCTCAGTTGTTTGAAAATTTTGGATTTTGGCCCAATTTTAAAAAAACTGACTTTTTGGGGAAAATAATTATAAAATCCAAAATTTTGAGTGTAACGAAAAACCGGAATATATGTCAGAGAAGTGGTCTATGTGCACCTACATACATACCAATTTTTAGAAGAATCGGTTCAAAAATGTGGGAGTTATTCAAAATTTTATTACGTCACGACATACAAAATTTTTGAAAAAAAAAAGATTTTTTGGAAGTTCTAGATCTCGTACGGAAACAAAAATAGCACCATTCGATTCGCCGTGAAAAACTGCATCGGATAGACACCTTTTTAGGCCTTAACAACCAACTTCAACATTTGACCTCACTTGACCTGACCTTGACCTGACCTCGACCTGAAATTCATCCAGAGGTGGTCCATATCACTTATTGAGTGTGCCATTTGAATTCTATGAGTAAAATGACCCATAAAACATGTGTCGCATATGCCCTTTTCTATATTTTGTTTTTGGTGACCTGGCCTGACCTGACCTGACCTTGACCTTGACCTTTGAATGACATTGTATGCAACGAATATTGTCTTGGTAGTCTAAGGACACGTTTTGGGCAATCAGGCTCAGTCCATTCTTCGGCAACTACGGTGCAAGGCCGATACTGTAGAAACTTGCATTTTGTACCCTTCATGGTGTGTCAAAAGTGGAAATAGCCGGTGCGCCGTCTGGCAACCCGGCAGCCCGCCGCCATAGGGAAATTCATGCTTTTTGTCGCTTTTTCGCTCCTTATGAGTCACTTGATCTAATTAGAGCTTAACTAGGAACGAGGCGGGTCACTTGGACGTATTCGGGAGCCGAATACGGTGTTTTGGAGCCAATACCTGGGAAACCCTACCCGCCCAATGCGAGTATCTAAGAGTCTGCATGCCCAAATTAACGCTGAGCGCGGCCGTTTTCGGTCGGTTTTCCGCGACCTTGTGGCGAAATCGCCTTATTTATTCAACCAGGGTGGGCTAATTCGCTTAACTAGGAATGAGGCGTTGAAGAGAATCATTCAAGGAATAGAGTTGTGCAAAAATATTTTTTTTGTATTGTTAAAACTGTATCCGCCCTCGAACGATAAATATTGTTGACCCATCAGAAACACATCCCCTGGAATGCGTTTGGACTTGGCTGGATCTAATATTAGCGAGTATCTGCTAATGCAGTTTCTTGGCTTACACAGTACGCACACAAGCATACATACTTCCTGCCCTTGGTTATCCCTCACTTGAGTGAAAATTTTGCTATAATAACCATTCCAAGCAGTTAACAGGATTTAGTGCAGTGCCAAGTCGGAACCGTTCAGCGCCGCCAGTCTCCCAGGCGGCGCGTAACGGCCGCCGCCGGCCGCGCACCGCCGCTCTGGCAGGGTGTTTGACTTCATATCTCTGTTGCTAGAAAAGTTGTAGACCGATTTACTTGATTCTTGCATGGAAAGATCCGCCATTCAATTCTTAGCAGACAACGAAAAATCGACGTCAATTGCACGATCCGCTGCCCATATTGTGGTACTGCCATCTATTGACAAGGCTGGCGAACTAAAGCCGGGCGGCTATTTCCACTTTTGACACACCATGGACCTGACCTTGACCTGACCTCTGACCTACTTAAGCAAAAAATTTTGGGCTCTTAAGATCCGCCTTGTTGAGAGCTTTTGATTGCCGTTTTCCCCGTCTTTCTACGACCATCGGTTCGGAAGTTAGACAGGGGGGGGGCAGAATCTGCCCCCCCCCCCAGCAGGGCGCGTATGGCTGAATAGTCCAGCGGGGCGCGGGTTAAAAAGAAAATTCGCATGTCGCCTGCTTGCGCGCTGATGTGTTGTTCAAACTGAACTTTTTCTGTAAAAAGCTATTCAGTTTTTTTTTTTACTTGTCATTTGTCAATTCAGGACACTGCCTGGGGGAGGGGGGATGTCACCAATGTCCCCTAGTTTTGGATTCCCCAGTGCATCTTTTAAATCAAACCTTCCTTGATAACACGATGTGCCATTATTTACAATATACTATTACAGCATGACGTTCACGTGAAGTTTTGCCTAGCAAGGCACAAAACATCAGCATTTGCAATCTACTCCTGGAATTGCGCTTCACCGTTTTCGAGATTAGAGATATAACTATGATATATGAGCCGGAGGTACCGACCGCGCGTCAGCGAGCCATAACATAGTCTTGAGTCTACTAGAACGGTGGCAGTGGTGATGAAGCGATACCAGTCCCATTGACCGCACTGCGCTGAAGTGACCCATTCGCAGCCATGGCCCGGCCGGGAGCGGTACTGCTGCTGCTCCTGCTGACGTCAGCGGCCGCGGTCCGGTACCGCTGGCTGGACCCGGTGTCCCTCCACGGTCCGGCTGTGCAGATACTCTCTGCTGAATCGGAGATCGACTGCGGTCTCCTTTGCGAGGGAGCTACTCCTGAAGAGTGCAGCGGCTTCATCTACGGGCCCGTTGACGGCACGTGTCGTCTGTTCTCTGGCGACTGCCGCGGTCCGGCCGTCGTCAGCTCTCAACAGACTACCGAACGCTACATGGCCCGATCCAAATGTTCCGGTGAGAATGCTAGAGTCGGCAGTTTTTTGTGCTATCATCTACGGTGCTACCTTTGGCATATCTTCCAAAACGTTATATTTCCTTGTTTATAGGCTAAGTACATTTTCATAGGCGTAGTCGTTAGATATGAATTTAATCATGGAGAGATGAAAAAGTCAAAAAGACTTGCTTGCATGTCTATAGGATTATGTGTCGGGCATACATATAATCCAGAAGTGTTGTCGTGATTGACAAACAAAAACAAAATGGATTCCATTTCTATTGGAGGCTAAACCACGTTGAGTGTTGACCTTAGGTCAAATATGAGGAATTTCCCAGAATGTACTTAGCAGAGCTATCGAATGCAATGTTGTACAGTTTTATTGTTGCCTGTCAGGGTATACCTGTTACAGTTAGTATGCGAAATCCGTTAGTTTGCAACGGAACTAGTTTCGTTGCAAACTACCTGACCGGCCAGGTAGTTTGCAACGAAACTAGTTCCGTTGCAAACTAACTGACCGTCCAGTTAGTTTGCAAACTAACTAGTTAGGATGCAAACTACCTAGGTACGTTGCAAACTACCTAGTTACTTTGCAACGGAACTAGGTGTGTTGCAACGGAACTAGTTGTAATGCGAAATCGACGAGGCAGTGGCTCTATTTGTCGGTTATATTCAACTCTTATGTAAATTTTAACAACGGCTGTTAAAACAAAGCTGTGTTTTTCTAACGGGTGACACTAGACATAAGAGTAGGACGGGTGGTCACATTCATGGATGAAACAGTGAATTAACGAGATTCGACTACATATGCAATGTGACGATCACTAGCAGATCCAGAGGAGGGGCAGTACCGGGGGCATTTTGCGATTTTGATTTTTTTTTTTTGCGACACACACTAACACCAGTCACCACCGCCGCCGCACAGAACAGAACTGAACTGTATTGACCCATGGCCCGTGGTCCGGGGATAAGCGTGCGATCAAGAATCTGTCTCACCGGCCGACTTATACTGCGACTTGCCTAGCCAGGTGACCTAGCGGTGCCGGGCCATTCGGTAGCAGCCAATCATCAAAGGGCAGGCTGCGTCACAGACTGATCGGTTGTGGATGTAGGAGCTCGTCAGCGCACTATGGTTGGAAACGGCCTCACGGATGGCCGTGGGCAATCTCGGAATATATGTATATTTGGGGTGTCATTCTGTTGGAAATTGATGAAATGTTTTGAATTGGGCAGAAAAAATTATTTAGTTGCGCATTTAGTCTCCATTATTGTACGTGGAATCGGGAGTTTCTGAGAGTGGCTTTTTTGGTGCGCCGTCAAAGGTTTAAACAACCGCGCTGGTGATAGCATGTGGAGTACCTCCATGACGTTGTAAAACTGGATTATTATATATCAAAATAATCCTTGTTATGTTGGCTATCGAGTGGAGTGACTCTTTTTCCCATGCGTGTTCAAAATCAGGAACGGCATTGCATTCTGTTTGCAGTGTCACCACAGCAATATTTGCAAAATTACGTTTATGTTTCATTGGACATACAAAAAGTTCTCCATCGACCTCCATTGAGCTTTTTGGCAGAATAAGTCTCTGTTCAATTCTGCGTAAGGGGAACGTAAAAGCAGACTGCGCACTTGTGCGCAAAATCGTCCGTGAAGCTTCATCTCCCGAGGCGTACCTACCCGTCGCTTCGTTAGCACCAGGTCGGCTCGTCAGTCTTGCAATCGCTTATCCTTATAAATGATGGTAAGAAGCAGGGTTGCGGAGTCGTGGTGGAGCCAAATCCGACTCCGACTACGACTCCGACTCCTGACTCGTTGCCATGACTCCGGCCGACTCTGTCTCCGACTCCGGACCCCTGCCAGTGTTTCGGAGTCGTGATGGAGCTGTTCCGATTCGGACCGACTCCGACTTCCACTGCGGGCTCCTGACCGACCCCGACTCCGACTCCGACTCCTGGCTCGTTGCCACGACTCTGGGCGACTCTGGCTCCGACTCCGACTCTGACTCCGACTCTGACTTCGACTCCGCACCCCTCGTAAGAAGTAACTGCTCGCCGCTGCACCTGGAGTATGGATATCGTGCAAACGTGTATGGATATCCTGGAGTATGGATATGGATATCCACCGACAGAGCAGACATACAGACATGCTGTAAACGCCATTACACTGCCAATACCATGGCAAATCAAATGGCTATCTATGGTTTTTGATCATCGTTCTACATTTCCCAAAATCTTGAACTGAATGTTGGCAATTTCTCGTGACTACTTCACGACCATGATGCATGCATTTCTGAAATTGATCTTTTTTCAACCAGCTACGTACTCGTATGATAAAATGAATGTCACCATCGTGTTCTACGCCCAAAAGTACCCATAAAACATGTGTCATGCATGGGCTGCGAATAGGTACCAGTTTTAATTTTCGGGGTTATGTGCTTACCTGATTGACCTGACTTTGACCCTGGCCAGTGGCCTATGTTTGACTGACCCCTACATTGATCTGACACTCTTTTAGCACTTATATGAAGGGTTGTGACAGTTGTGACAGATTGTTTAGGACCAACTGATGACTGAATTTATTTAGGACCAACTGATGACGATATAATCGAAACGCGAAACGCGAGGCACCGATTGCGAGGTTCTAAAGTCCATGCTACTGAAAACCCGATTTCAAGTGTTTGACCTGACCTTGACCCGACCTGTGACCTCGAAATTCAACTTTAAAGTATTCATGTGAATCGTCTCGTCGCGTTCTTCTTTCGTTTGCCGCGCCTCGTGCGCTTCGCTGCGCCTATTTGTTCGCGAGTTATCGGCTGGGGGCGTTGAACGCCCCCCCCCCCCGGGCAAACGGCGGATGGGGAAATACCCCAGCAACTGCCGGGTTAATCTGACGCATGTTTTGTCATTTGATCGTCATTTTATTTCTTACTTTTTTGCCCAATCTAAAAAAAAATCATAAATACTCTTTCTCCAAATTTTTGACCGTTTATGACCAATAGTAAGACACTGTGCGTCACTACGTTGATATGTCTTGCCCTAAAGCATAACAACAATATCCATTCAGTAATAGCAGTATTCAAAACATGTTCAAAATGCCTCGCGATATCGATAACATAACGAAAGACATAGGCGACTTATAACATACTTGCAATGATGACGTCACACACGCGTGACGTGACGTGACCTCGTCATTTCTGAGTTACTGTATGATGCACGAAAGACACTGGTATACCTATGCAAAGTTTCATCGCAGTCGGTCTACGCATTAACAAGTTATGGGCAAAACATTTTTTCGCGTTGACCCCCGGCCATCCGTGAGGCCGTTTCCAACCATAGTGCAGCGGCGCGGTTCTGGAATAGGGGAGACCGGGGAGGTATGGGCCGGTTTTGTGTAAAGGCAATTTTCTTCCTGTGGGCAGTGGCTAGACCCGTTTTTTTCACTCTGTGTACGTAAAATTGCTTTTCGCCTGCAGTGTGCCTGATATTAGGCATCTTGGACCAACTATTTTGTATCGAGATAACTTTCAATTAATCATGCACTTTTTCGATCCAGCAAATACACCGGGAAGTATGGGCCGGTGCTATGTTTCATATTCTTTTCTCGACGATGAGAACAATACTCGTAGCTGGTACCTTGATCTCTCTTAGAGCCACCGCATAAGCGGCCAACAGCTTACTTCATGGAAGTCACTTGGGCACGTAAGTATTTGGTAAATTCAACATGCTCCACGAAATAAGATAAATAACATTGTTTTCTGTTTGAATGAAATTTTTAGTTGAATGTTCGACCTTGCGCGGCAAAAATAAAACTTATTGAAGAGGACATTCAATGAAAGCATCATTTTTAATTCTTGTAGTGCTCTTTGTATGTAAGGCATGTAGGTGATTGGTAAATTCCTTTTTAATGACCTCCTTACAAATTATTTATGTTTTTGATGTATTTAGCTTGATACAAATTTTCGGCCACGGGCCTTGATCACATATCAGTTTAAACACAGACACGAAAGACACACAGACACCAATGCAGTTACAGTTTTGCCAGTTTTTCAGTTTCTGTACAACTTCGCGTGATAAAAAAGCACAATATACCTACAGTTCTAAGGAATATGTTAGATGGGCCCAACAAAAACGATCATAGACAACCTAATAGGTCAAAAATTAACTTTAAATTCGTTTTCGTATTCGATTCATTCATCTACTTTTCAACGTTCACTCATGTACATGCACATAAAACCCGATAACTACATAATGTACCACGATGATACATTTCGATTCAGTTGCGGCTTTAGCTTTCGGATTTGTAGCGACTCACTTATCTTTCGGTGTGGATGGTCGCCGGTTTTTTGAATGATTTCCACCGTTAGAGGAATTTCACCCCTTTGAAGTTCTAATTCTCTGTGAGCCGATCTAAAGTGATCACCAATGGGTGTGTCTCGGGTCTTGTTCTTGGCGCTTACGACATGCTCATTAAAACGTAGCCTAATAGGCCGTTTTGTCTCGCCCACATATGTTACTTCTTCTCCACCTTTCTGGCAGGCGCTACATGTGATTCTATACACTACACCTGCGGTTAGGCACTTCCCTTTCAATCCCGACTCACAAGTATTGCAAACTCGCGACCCTGCTGGGCACTTGGGATGGGAGAGGGCAGAACGTGTGAGGCGGCTTTTCAATGTGTTCTTGCTTTGCCAGGCTACTCGCAAGTTTAAATCAGTTTTTCTCACGATGGCATTGACTTTGGCACAGACGGTCTCGTCGATATATGGTAGAGTCAGGTACCCGTCTAGCTGCTGTACTTGCTGCTTTTTGTGGTGCCGGTGCTCTCCATTTGTCGTCGGATGTGTCTCTGCTCGGGTAGCCTCTCGTTGCAGCCTCCGCACCAACTGTTTTCTGTAGCCGTTTTCTTCGAATAGCTGCTGTATCTTCTGGCAGGAGCGAGCACGTGCCGCTGCATCTGACGACAGTCTGATGGCGCGTCGAAACTCGGCTCGTATCACTGCCTGCTTGGTCTTCATGGGATG